CCAAGTGTCTGGGAAGTAAATGGATTGAACCCAGAAAGGTTTGAAATGCACCCCAAAACTTGATTAAAAACAAATGAGATTAGATGTTTGTGCCAAAAAACTTGATTATTTTATTTAATAGTAAAAGAGGCAAAGAGAAATAAAGAAATAGAAGAAGTATGCAAGGGTGGGGAGATAGGGAGAGAGTGACAGGGTTTATATAGGAACATATCACCCTTCTGAGGGTCCCAGTGATGTCTCGTGGCTGCCCTCCATCTGGTCTTCTTCATGGTGAGGATCCCCCACAACCCTGTGCCAAGAAGTATAGAATCCGATGGATTAATATACCTTTGGGCCAGGTGGGAGCACCCATGTGCCCTGGGGAGGGCAATTTTGACAACTGTCCCTTGCAACACTGCAGATCTGTTGCATCATCTGCTCTGTTGCAGGTCTGGGGACACATTGGGGGTGCCTTTGATGGCCCCTGACACCCCTTCTGCTGTTCCTCCCATGGATGTGGCTGTTTTGGGGTGAAGGGCCCCTTGGCTGAGCTGCTCTGCACAGCACTCACTGCCTCGGACCAGTGGCTTTTTCACTACACACCCAAGGCCTCTCCTCCCTCCCACAGTCTGGTGTGGAGGGTCTGTGAGAGTCTGGCAGCTGATAACCCCAGGGCTGTCGTCTCCATCCCTAAGGTGCTAAGCTTGATCCCTCTGTGAATGAATTCTTCTTCCCCAATCCTGACCTGAGTCACTTTATCTTCATCAATGTGCAGTGCAGGGTGCCATTCAGGGTGTGCTGGTCTTTTGCTTCTGTTTTTATACAGTTTTGCTGTAATAGGCAGAAGTCCTTCATGAAGATGTTTAAGTCATAAATTATAATATTTCAGTCTCTGAAAGTTGGTTGGCTTGTTTGTTTTTAACAAACACTGATGACCACATCAGTGTGGTCAAGTAGTGCATGAGGTTGTCCAGAGAGATTTTACAATCTCCTTTCTTGAAGGTGTTCAAGATTAACCTCATACTGTGGTTTAGCCCTGGCTGGCAACTCAAGCCCACACAACTGCTCGTGGCACTCTTCCATGGTGAGGTGGAGGAGAGTCAGAAGGGTAGAAGTGAGAAAACTCGTGGGTTGCGATGAAGACAGTTCAGTAGGGGAAGCAAAAGCCGTGTACTCAAGCAAAGCAAAATGGGGAATTCATTCATCACTTCCCATGGGCAGGCAGGTGCTCAGCCATCCCCTGGGAAATGGCTCCATCATGTGTAACAGTGGCTTGGGAAGATGAATGGCATCACACTGAAGTTCCTGTCCTCATTTTCCTTCCTGCTCTACATGCTGAGCACGATGCCCTATGGTCTGAAACATCCCTTGGGTCAGTTGGGGTCATCTGTTCTGGCTGTGTCTCCTCCCAAACTCCGGTGCACTCCCAGCCCTTTTAGTGCTCCCAACCAAACCCAGCACACCTTTCACTCAGGTCCTGGCGTGACCTGATCTGACTAGAGCTTGGAGTGGATCAGACTGGCTGATCTCCAGAGATCTCTTCCAGCCCGAAGTATTTTGCCATGCTGATACCATACAGAGCAATGCCTGCTGTGGGAGTCTGATCCTTCAGGCTTGCTTTAAAAAGGCTCTAAATTCAGGAAATTGATTCATGAGGAATGACCTTTTTGTAAGTTTTGTGAATCATGTTGCAATTCAAAACAAAACAGAAAACCTTTGAGACTTACTGTTTCCTGGGGGTTGTCTTAAATCCTGTTTATGTGTACATGCATTCACAACCCCAAGGTTTGCTCCCTTGAGATGTCTTCCATTGTCCACCTGCTCTGAAAAAGTTTAAGTTTTATTGCCCAGTCGATCGCTCTGAGAGACAGGGCAAATATAGGAGGAAGGAGGAATACACAGAACATTTAGAAGAATGGATCTGTGGCTTTCCCAGCAGAATAAGAGTGGATTAAATCATGCTTTGGCAAATTCTGCTGGCTTATAGATGCTATGGAATGTGGAAAAAATTGTGTAGAAATACTCAGAGAAAAACATCTACAGTTAAATATCCCTCCCATGACATCTTTTTTTTTCTTAGCTTATACCTTAATGCTTTAAGAGGTTAGAATATGTAATTACTCTTTAGAATAGAAACAAAGTAGAGGTCTTTAAGGCTGTTTATTTTCTTCTTTGCCCTGTTCTATTTTGAAGTTTGATGCTAGCGTCTTTTGAAAGGGAGCATATGGCATTTCTAATTAAGGCCTGAGATTTTCTGACATATAACTGAATAATACATTTCAAACACTGCCATGCCTTCCAGATGAAAGAATTTTCTGGCAGAAGCACTGGAATGTATGTGCTGTGTAACCCTGGTCTCCTTTAGAACTTCGAAGAATTTTGCCCAGAATACCAGCGCAGTGAGAAATCAAGGGGTTTGTTTCTTTAGGCTGATGTCAGTATTCCTTGGCAAGCTCAGCTTTGGATCCGATAAGAGCTACTGTGCTTTGTTGCTCAGAGGATTCAATGTAGCTACATTCTGAAACGTTTTGGTCTGCCAGGGGATTTTAGTCATCTTTATCAAATTTCATTCCAGGCTGCAGGGTTTGTTTGTGTGTATTTTCAACATTAACTCTTGTAGAGATGTGCTGTAGCTCTTCAGTCTCTCCAAAGAAATTCTAATCTCTTCCTTTCAGCATTTGGTGCCAAATTTTCTTCTTTTATTTGGAATGCATAAAAGATTTCTGAAATTGTGGTTTGTGATAAATTCCTGATGTGATCTGATTTTCTTGAGATTCTTACCATACAATACATAACCAGTATTATTAACATGTACCTTGTATCTCTGAATGGTAAATGGGCTAATCTCAGAGCTTTCCTCAGATTTTTTTCTTCTTTGGTTCCTCTGACACAGTTGTGCAAATCAGAAGAGGAGGGAATTAAGCAAAAGTAATGCATTTGGTTCCTTTTTTTTTTTTTTTGTTTTGTTAATTATTGCCATGTCTGTGTGGTAAGTGAGGAAATTGGCCTTTACACTATTTTTGGTAATTTTTAGGGGGAAATTGAGTCTTTGAATACATTTTTTTTCCCTCAGGACACAGATTCCTTTAGTTACTGGGAAATCTGTCACTGTGATATAAAAATTTTAGTTAAAATTATAAACTTGGGGGTTTTAGATCTTCTTATTTCCATCTTTAGGTCTAGTGAATACATGCAAAAGATTGGGAAATCTTAAAATGAAATTTTTTGTAGATTTGTGATGCAGGTGGGTAGTTACTTTGTTTGGATTAATTTTAATTGTAATGGGGAAATATTTAAATGGAGGTTGGGCTGGTATTTGGGAACTGAAAAGCTGTGTAAACAGGTTCCAAGCTGAAGCCTTTCACCAATGTAGTGTTCATTTTGAAACACAGAGATTTCTGATATGCTTCTCTCAGGGCAGTGTTTTTGCTGTTAATTGTCCTTGAAATACAGCATATGCTATCTGTGTCTTCACAGCTCACTGTCAAATTCAAACATTGATGATATTTTATTAATGACTTGTATTTGACAGCTGCTACGAATATAAATCAGAAATCTGTAATTGAATGATAAGGATGAAGAGTTAACAGGGTAATTGCACAAGTACTGAAGATCCTCTTCTACCTCAACTGTGTTGTCGACATAAAGCTGGAGTTGAAGTGTTTAATGCACCTGAGGGAATGCAGGATATTAGATCAGCAACAAGATGTGACAGAGCTGTGTGGAACAGCGTATTAAAGGGATTTGGGGGGCAGATGTAGCTTTGGTGGTTCTTTTTTTGTTATATTTTAACTTCTGGAGACAGTTCAGGTCATAGGAAAGAGCAGCTTGGAGCCCTTTAACATGAAACTGTCCAAGGCTTCTGCAGCCTCTGAGGATAACTGGTTGCCCAGAGAAGCTGTGGCTGCCCAATCCCTGGAAATGTTCTAGGTCAGACTGGGCAGGGTTTGGAGCAATCTGGGCTAGTGAAAGATATCCATGCCCATGGCAGGGGACTTGGAACTGGATGAGCTTTAGGGACCCTTCCAACACAAACTGATCTGGGATTCTGTGATGATGATAAGACAGCTGTTGCTGTGTCTCTTTTTGGCTTGTGTTTCCTACTAAAGACACAGAAAGCTGGAGCCTGTCAGCATCTGGTGGTGTTGAAGTTGCACTTGTTTAATTCTTATCAGTATTTTATTCAGATAAAACTGGAAAAAGTCCAAATAACTGCAATACCGTATTTGCATAAGGACTTGCCATATGGAGTTAGACTGTCCAGCTTACTTTGGGCAGCTGCACTTACTTTGGTCAAGTTGTGAGACACTTGGAATCCTAATGAACACTTGGATTGGATGGTTTTTTGAGCATGCTGTTCCAGGCCAATATGATCCCTTCTGGGTTTGTGTTAGTCATATAATGGCATATATCCCTCCCTATGTGTTTGATTCTTAATAGTTACGAGCTTTCATTTGAAGCAATCCTCTCTGTTCCATGCACTATGACCTTTAATGTCACAGTTGTTTTTCTTCTGCTCATCCATGAACTTACTTCAGTGAAAAAAAATATTTTTTTGGCTCAGAGAAGGCTTCCTGAGCTCAGGGTACCACAGGACAGCCAAAGGGAGATGGTGTAAAGAAGTAGCATTATCTACTATGCTTTAACAGAGACTTCTCTTTATGTGAAGTCTGGAGTGGATGTGACTTTTAGGTAACACTGTGAAATTTCATTAAATGGAGAGTTGACAGCCTTGAAATTTTTCTCACATAATGCTTTTCTAGGTCCCAGTCCTTTCTTTGGTAACACTGCTGTGACTTATTCCCTAGTCCTGTTCTTTCAAACTTTATGATAACTTTATTGTGGTAAAGTCTGCTAAGCATTCTTTATGATCTCATTAAAATTTTGATCCTTTTATGCTGTTAAAACTGATACATGAGAAAAAAATTGTCTGAGACCTGTATGTATGCATGTCTGGTGTCTGTGCTCTTGGGTAAACCTGTGTGTGCTTTTGTTTTCTTGTTTTCTCTTTCTTTTTACAGAGAGTGATAATGAACTCTCCAGTGGCACTGGTGATGTGTCAAAGGATTGTCCTGAGAAGATTTTGTATTCCTGGGGAGAGTTACTGGGGAGATGGTAATGCTTAATTTCTTACATTAGATTTTAGATATTAACCTTTTATTTCGTTTATGATGCTGTATGCTCCTGAGGAGGAGGTTTGAAATTCTTCAGCTTACACAGTTTAAAAAATAAAATGCAAGACACACTGAAGTGTAGTTTTTAAACTTAATTGAAAGGGGAGTGGTATAGATAACTTGGAGATTTTTTTGACAAGTCTTTTCCATAGCATTTGCGCAAGTCTTATTTTGTTTGGTGTTTGGGAGTGTATTTGTATGTGCTCACACAGCAGGTTTGAGTCTTGTCACGGAGAACTTTCTGGTCATTTGTGGCTGGCTGTTAAATCCTCATGAAACTCAGTGCCAGGATAGGACAGACACAGCAACTCCCATGTGTCCCATCAAAGTCATGCATGCCAGCTGGTGTACATTTAATTTGTTTAGAAGCACTTTTTTTTTTTTCCTATTTTTGTTAATGTGCTACATGTAAGCACTCAAAAAGGAATCTAGAAAGACTGTGGATCCTCACTGAAACACTTCCTGTTGGTGAATAAAATGAAGAGTATTTGTAAGCCCAGACTATGTTCTCAACAGTGTTATTTGTGTTGTTTAATTAAGTGCTTCTGTAGCAGTGCATACTGTGCCAAGAGAGGAAAAATCTGTCTGTTTGCTGCCTTAGAGAGACCTGAGCAAGTGCCAGAACCACTTACTTGGTTTTCCCTGTGTAAGTAACAGCTCCTGCTGCTGGAGACAATTTTTGTGTGGAGACAATTAGAGGCCCTTAATCTGGAACTGACTTTCCTTTTCCTAACTCCAAAAAGAGAGATGAACAACATTTTAAGGATTTATTTGGACAATTCCTCCCTTTACTTGGCTACTGCATAGATTTAGAGAAACAGCCTCTTACTGCTGACCTCATCTGTATAGAGGTCTCACACACAGGTTTCTGGATGAGGCATCACAAGGTTTTACTGAGCTTAACTGAACCCTCCCCCTGGAACCATCTCCTTCTGACTGAGTTTTTAACTACTCAGTCACCCAAGTTTCTGGCCTTAATCCAAGATCCAAGTTTGGAAGATGCTGTTTTTCAATTTAACTTTTTTTAAAAAATTAATTTGTCAGTTAATTCTTCTATTTTTAACTTGTGTCTTTGATAAATACCTGGACTCTGTGGATGAGTGTGCTGAATAAAAGGACACCCACAGCTCATGGTCTTAAGTTTCATGTATCCACTATTTTGGTTACTCAAGTATACTAATTAACAAGACAAAACATTTAAGACTTGGAATAAACTGTTTTGGAATCCTAACATAACTTACACATCAATCAAGAGAATTGTTTAGTAGTTAAAGCAGCTTAAAATTAGTTTAAAATGGGGTGAGAAATGGGGGATCCCAGCCTGTTTGAAGACTGGAAAACATTTCTTCAGGAATGTCTCAAGCAATATTGCCTGTGGAGAGAAGTTAAAATCTGTTAACTGCTTGAGTTCTTGAAGAGTGTTAACGTTACATTTTAAGAACAAAACTTACATTAACAGGTGAGAAATGCTAAGGATTTGAAAACTAAAAAGAAATCAAAATAAAATCTAGTGTGTTGAAAACTGTACCATATGTTAGTAGAAGTTCTGTGCACTTGTAAAAAAAGTAAATAAACAAAAATTAACATTTTCACTTGGAATCGCTTGGTGTGCTGATTTGCCTCTTAGATGAAAAATTTCTTCAGTTCTAATTGCTTTTTGTCATTTCATTAAAATGTTAATGTAACCTATTGGACTCAGCAGAAACACTGCTCCAGGAGTCTTCTTCAAGAATATAAACAGAAATAAGAATAAGATAATTTACCAAAAAGATAGAACAAACAATTGAAAAGTAATGGTATATCTATTTATTTTACTATTTACTGCATCCTCAGCATTAAAGTTGCTGCATTAAAGCTGCTTTAGCTGACTGGTCAACTATTTCTAAAAAAAATTATCTAGTAGCAATGATCAATAACAGTCTTTGATCAGAAATGTATGTTTGTCAAGTTGGAGCATAGTCTATGCATTGCTGCTCTATATCCTTGCTCTCTGATATTTTAAAATTGGATTTATGAGTCTGTGCAGGTGAATTGCAGCATTTTGTAACAAATTAAAGATGTCAGCATCCATGAATGGTGACTCCCACATGATAAAGGATAAGGTTAGAATAAGGCAAGCTTTTATTTTATGCTCACTTCTGTTTCTGAGCAAGGATTATGGATGCACAAGCTATTTCTCAAAGAGCCATCCAGTACTTGGAAAGTTGGCTTTGGAAGTTAGTAATGCTGTCCAGCAAGGACTCATATTGCTGAAGTATTACCTCTGCCATAAAATCCAGGACAGAGCCAGTAAAGTCTGGTTGTTTGTTTCTCAGTTGGGATTATGTTCAGGATGGTGTTAGAGCATGTGTGTTAGTTGTTGCCTTATTTGTATTGTTTCCTTGGTGTTGCTGAAAATTTCCCTGTTATGTTTCTATGGGAATGTCCCTTTTTAGCTATTCATTTGATCAGCTTGCCCAGTCCTCAGGGGGAGCCCTTCTTTGTTTCTCATGTAACACATATGACCAGATCCATGTAATAACTAAACTAATCCACAATTAGAGCTTCACATTTCTGATGTATTTACTATATATTTATTCCTCAACATGCATGTTGTAATTCTGTGACTGCTTAGAGTATCTGGTTATAGAATCACTGAATAGTATGGGTTGGAAAGGACCTTAAAGCTCATCTCAGAGATGCCTTCCACTATCTCAGGCTGCTCCAAGCTGTGTCCAGCCTGGCCTTGGACACTTCCAGGGATGGGGCAGCCACAGCTTCTCTGGGCCGTCTGTGCCAAGGCCTCGCCACCCTCACAGGGAAGAAGGACCCATGTAACCTGGCCTCTCTGTCAGTTTAAAACCATTCTTCTTTGTCCTGTCATTGTCTGCCCTTATAAAGGTTCTCTTCCTCCTTTTTATAAGCTCCTTTAAGGTCAACTGAAAGGCCATAGTAAGGTCTCTGTGGAGCCCTTTTCTTCTCCAGGCTGAACAGCCCCAGCTTTCCCAACCTGTGTCCATAGCAGAGAGGTTTCAGCCCTTGGAGCATCTCTGTGGCTTCCTCTTAACCTGTGCAAGTCCTTTAAGTCAAGTGTTTAGTGCTTTTAATGTTTCTGTGAATACTGGTTTTCTTTTTAGCTCTTTCCCACTGCAAGACTGTTAGGGTGATGTGACTGACTGCAAAAGAGACAGAAAAATATAAAAGAAACTAGTTTTTATTTGGGTATCTGAGGGATAAATGACTAAGGTGAAGTTACTTGTACTGCACTGCACATTTAAAAATAAAAATAATTATTGTTTTTTAAATGAATAAGGGTATTAGGTAATCACACTCTTTTCAATTCTCAGGTCATTTGGAAAAATGGGGATATCATCCCCAAAGCATAGGAAAAAGAAATAGGTTGGAGTCTCTTTTAAATTTAAACAGCAGTGGTAATCTGTTCTTGTCCTAATGACCTGTTTCATAGAATGAGTACTCTAAACATTCACTGCAAATCCAGGGTCATATTGCAGGTTATTTAATGAATCACAGCTTGCTGGCATTTGGCTGAACAACCACTCTCACTACTCTGCTAGCAGGAGAGCTGGGGCACAGAGCAGTGGTCAGAGCACCTGGAGCACAGCACTTCCTACAGTAGAAAGAGCCAGAAATCAGTTTGGGCAGTCTTCTGCATTGCTCTGAAAATTGTCATGAGTCTAAGAGTGCTTTAATCTTGATTAGCAAATACTCTTATCTCCAAAAGAGCTTTTCAACATCTGTAACTGAAAGCTCTGTAATATTGTGCACATGCAGTGATTTTTGTATTCCTACATTTCTTGTTGTGTGTGTGTAAAACCAGGTAGTAAAGCACCAGCTCAGACCAACAGAGAGATTTATTTGAAATAGTGGGATTGTACAAACGTGTGTGCAAGTGTTCGTGTTTTGTGGGACTTGGAACATAGTCTTGGCATGAAGCATGCAGCTAGAACTTCAGTCTTCAAAATAGTACTCTTAAAATTGTCTTTCATTCTTTTTCCAAAATTCGTTTTTCTGTACAGCTTACATTATTTTAAATTTATTTTTCTTAACCTAAGCTAAAGCATACATGTTGAACAAATATTTAAGTTGAATTGTCTGCACAGATGGCATATTTTTCTCTTTCAGTTCAAATTGTCCTTCATTAGCCAACTTAGTTCAATTTCAGCAACTGTTGATTGTTAATATTCATTAATGTCTCCAGACCTAGAGAATTTGGATATCACTGCATCTTGCCACTGGTTCTTACTGTAAATCCTTGCAGAGTTTTTGTTTTCCATCTGATGAACACTACTGTAACCAGTAGAGGAAAAGTTTGTGTTGCCAGTTGCTGACTCTGCTTTAGTGAATAACTTTAAAGATTTTTAATGTTTTTAATCTTTATTTTGACTTCTACAGTTGGAGTATAACAGGCAAATTATCATCTTTGTTTCAGGCACAATAACCTTGTTGTGAGACCAAATGGATTGTCCACTCTGGTGAAGAGTGGTGTTCCAGAAGCATTGAGGGCAGAGATCTGGCAGTTGCTGGCAGGATGCCATGACAACCAGGCAATGCTGGATAAATACAGATTACTCATCACAATGGTAAGGGACTTACTATTTGTTCTTTCCTTCTTTTGTTCACTTTTCTTTCCTTTGGTTGAGATGAATACTGCTGGGCAGCAGTTTTAGTCCGTGGTAGGGCAGCAGAAGAATGAAACAGTTTGACTTGTTTTAAGCAAGTGAAATTGTGATTATGTGACTTTACCTCCTGCCGTGGGTACCTGCTACATGGCATTAGCAATAGAAATTACTGACCTATATCTGCAGTAATGCTTGACATTTAGCTTTCTTTTCTCTTGCTGTAATGATAATAAGAACATCAACTTGTTCAGAAGTTTGCTTGTGGGTTTTTTTATAAACTCATATCCATCACTTTGTTTTTTCAAAAGGTTGTTTTACGTACATCTTAATTTTAGGGGTTTCCATTCTTAAAAAAACTCAAACCCTAACCAAAGGTCATAAAATTGAGTATTTCTTCTTTCTGTTATTTATTTTAAAAAAGAATATTTAAAACATTTGACCTAGGAGGAAACGAGTCTCCTTTCTATTTGGGCGAGCTGAGAGGAGAATCCTTCTGGGAATCCATTCCCATTCTGTATCTATTAGTGCAGTCAGTGAGCATTCTAAGAAGTTTACAGAGCTGTTGGATCTTCTTAGATCTGTGATGGCAAGAGGGAGGAGCTCTGTGTTGTGTAGCACAAACTCTTTGCAGTGTCAGAGGTGATCTCAGTGTTTGAGGTTCTGGAGCTCTGCTGCTTGCGGGGCTCTGAGAAGAGCAGCAGTCTCAAATATGCTTTTAATGGCGGAAATGGATGGAGATAATTTTTATGCTGCTCAGAGCAAGTGCTGGGTTTGTTACCTGGGTTATGAATTATCTGTCCACACAGAAATTCAAATTTTTGTTACTCAAAAGTTTCCATTCATAATGTCATATTGTTTTGCTACTTGTCCTCTTAATTTGACATAATTATGTTTGTGAAGTTTAGAAGCATCCCCAGAATGAGAGCTGTCCTGGTGGCTTCTTTTTTCTTTACCAAGAAGGGAGAATGTTTTGATAGCGTAAATTTTTCATTTTGATGTTGTAGCTGTGTTATATTTTCCTTAGAAAACTTTCACAGGACATCTGTCAGCTGTATATTACATCAAAGCCACCTCCATTATTAAAGCTCCTGCTTTCCAAAAGTGGGAAAGACATTTGTTTTGCAGCAGAGGGGGAAGTGGAAAACCTCTAAAATGCAAGGTCTATATTGGCGCTGGGGCCTTGTGCCTTAAAAATACCTTGTTACACTTGGCCTTTTCACTGCAGAAATATTGCAGTGTATTGCAATGTGTACTTTGGAAGATGCTATTTCATACAGTATTTAATATGAAATATTATAGTGTTACTGATGAAAAATTTAAATCCTCTGCTGAAGTGAAGCATTTATGCAAACAGTTTTTTTTCTAAAGTGAATAATTTTCCTTCTGAAATGGCAGAACCTCTTCTGTAGTCTGTCTGTCTAAACTGCTGATGATCACATCATTTGGCAATAAAAGACTCATGAAAGAAATGAACAGGAGGGAGCTTGTGCCATACCAAAGCTAGGCCTGTCTTTGGAAAGAGATAGTATGGGATGCTTCAGAAAAAAATGTCAGCGGATTTTTTTTTTAAATGAATTATTATCTGATATTTATGTCTGTGAACCAAACTTTTCAGCTTCATTTGGGTGTGTCACTAATGTGAATTAAGCAGAGAAAGTAGTAGAATATATATTTTAGTAGTGTATACTACTAAAAGCTTGGTTGTAATGTTACCTTATATGTGTCAATAATTGTTGGGGTTCAAGCAAGGCTGGTACCCTGGCTGGAGCCAGCACGGCAGCTATTCCCAGCTGCTTGGTCCATATCCCACTGCATCAATGTGATGGATGGCAAAAAAGGCGTTTATTGCAGGGAAATTTTATAATTACATTTTATAGCCTGGGTTCACTGTGTTACTCCCATCTACATACGTCACACCTAGGTGCTATTGGCTAATTGCAGGAGGTTTTACTATCCTAGCAGAGAGGGGTTTTTGCTAACTTTCTGTTACATCCCGAAATCTTCCGCATCGCCAGGCCTTAAACTACAACATATTCCCCCCTCTTTATAAATAATTAATTTGCTAAAATATAAAAATATTAAAAATGGATAATATAAAATTGAGTAAAATATAAAATACTTAACTAAAAAGCTAAAAGCTTATAAAATGGATACTACAGTTTTCATTAGTAAATATGAGGCACAGGCGGTGACTAAGTATATTTTTAAAGCATCTGTTGCCTTTCTATAAACAAAATGTTAACTTTTTCTAGTTGGCTTTTAACAAAGGACACAAGCTTATTTAAAATACACGGTCCAAAGATTAGCGCGAGTAAATTCATTACAATTGGTCTAATCAGGATAGACACCAGGGTGGTTAGCCATGGAGATTGATCGAACCAGGACTGAAACCAACTCTGCTGAGCTTCTCTCTCTGCTTTTCTCTGAGACAGCCTGTCTCGTAGCTCTGCCATGCTGTCTCTCACTACTCCGGTGTGGTCTGTGTAGAAGCAGCATTCTTCTTTCAGGGCGATGCAGAGGCCTCCCTGCTGCATGAATAGAAGGTCGAGACCTCGCCTGTTCTGTAAAACAACTTCAGAGAGTGAGGAGACTGATTTTTCTAGAAAGGATATGGATTTCTCAGTTCTCTGTAGATCTTCATCTACAGTCATCTGTAGCTAAAACAGTCTCTGTTGTTGGGTCACGATGGCAGAGACACCTGTAGCAGCACCAGTTGCTTTCAGGTTAAGCAGCATCGCTATGGTTACACCTGTCACCACTTCTCTTTTCTGAAGTTGGGTGAGTCTCTCCACTTGCAGGCTCAACTCTTCATCCAGGTGGTATAGGACTCTGGGGATGCTAACAGCTAATACACAAAAGTCAACAGAGGAGTTAAAGCTTTGGGTATAAATGCAAGGGCTAGACTATTAAATCATGAGTTCTCAGCTTGTACCACAAGGTTGGGGCTCACTGCTTCAGGTGTTATGACTATAAACAGCACAATTACTATAAGCAGCTTACCATGTAAATGACACTGTACTTACAAACTTACAGCTAAAACTTTAATGTTAAATGAACTTTCAAAAATACTTACACTGCTTCTTAAAGGGAAAATACTTATACTTTATACTAACATAACAATTACTACACAGGCTAAACATTTTACATTAAACTATTATCTAACTACTTTTAACATACGTGTTCTGGTATATATGTAGTCTAAGCGTGAAAGCAATTTGCTAGAAAAATAAACACACAATTACAATTTGCTTTGTATATAGTTAGATGGAGTCTCTACGCTTCCCAAATCTTCTACAGAATTTTTCCAACACGATTCAGTCCTGGAATGTTCACTGCTCCCGTGATGTCAGCTGGCAGCTGATCCGTGACTGAGGGCTTTGATGTTCATGTTGTTCTTCACATCTTTTTAAATCTTAAAACAAAGGATAACTGAAAAATTGATAGAAACACCACATCATAATAACAACATAAAATATCTGTTGGCAACTGTCTGTGTAGTGTTCAGACACAACTGTGTCCTGACAGGTCCACTTCTGATCCGTGTCTGGAGTACCAAGGCTGTGTGATGACTTCTCTGTTCACTGGATCTTGTGTGTTCAGAGGCAGACAGCCTGGTCAGATGGACAGGTGACCTTTCTGAACCTGCCAACAAAAGACAGGCACTTCTCTCTTTGAGGTTAATCAATTACACTAATCAAATTTCTTTTAGGGTATCAATTTCCCCCCTTTTCTTAAAAAAAATAAAAATGAGATGTATTTCTGTTCAACATTAACACAAAACCTTATATACAATTAGTAAGAACTTATAACAGTTGAAAATCAATTAATATAAAAGTACTGTTAATTATTAAAACACTGCATCAGCATCTCATAGTTAACGAACAAATAAAGACAAAAATCGTCAGTGAAGGATTGGATCATCACCTCCGGAAATGATTTTCCAAGCTCACTTTAAAATTGATCCAGCTGTCATATTAATAGGGTCAAATTGTTAAATTAAAAGTGATTCAAATACTGATTTGGTACAAAAAACATCTGGATCTGTTGATAAACATTCTGTCCAGGTAAAGTTAAGACTTGGCCAGGGCCTTAGACTTTAAACTGGAAAGATGCTTCTTAACTTACTTTTAAAACAAGGTTTTCAGTAACAACAGCTATGAGATGCTTACAACACAGTAAACTGTTAAAATACATTTGTACAAAACAAATAATTAAAAACCTTAGGTACCAGACTAATTAAATCATTCAGCAGTTGGTTTAATTTGAAGCTTCTTCAATGGCAGCTGATCCTCAGCAATGCTACATCTTTTTAAAATTTTGGAAACACTGAAAAATAAGAAAGTTATAGCAAACGAAACTGCAAAAATTGCAACAACTGAATAGAACTCTCAATGAAGTCCAGGGTGTCACAGACTGCATTCATTTCTGTCCACAAACAGGTGTTCATCAGCGGTTTATCACAGTTGTTTCAGTTGTAGCTGTCTTCATATCTCTAGAAAAATAACTATACTTTGCAATTTAGACAAGTGTTTCCAATAAAACATAAAACAATTCAAATTAAACAAAATTTAAACTTAACAATAATTATTTATAACAAAAGGGAATAACAAAACTTAACTTTTAAAAGGCTATCTAAATTATACAACTTAACTTAAAAACATTCAAGCCAACGGTAACATGGATTCACTATAAAGATTATAAAAATGTAACAAATACATCACAATTCCATGTTATCTAGCTTTGAAAATAACTCACAGTAACTGCAAATGTTGCTAAAAACACTCATTCACAACAAAAATTTGCCTAGTATATGCTCAAATTAGCTAAAATTCCAAAGTGCAGCCTCTCCAATAAAAAAGGCCACAACAACACAGGATTGGGCAAGTTGTCATTTAGCTTTTGTACCACTTTTCAGGAACATCAAGTCCAATTTTTAAACTAAAATCCAAAATCTAAATTGG